ACACACACACACACACACACATACATACATACACAGGCACATGCACGCACAGTCACTCACATACACACACACACACAGATAAACAGACTCTATTATAAGCATTTTATCTCCCTCCCCCGGCCCTACCTTGCACACAGAACAAGACAGAGGTCTCGCAGAAAGCTAACTCAACTCATTGACATTCATACTTTCACGAAATGGGAGGTTTGGCCGCGAACATGTGCTGTATTTATATAGTATTATAAGAGAAGAATGTGTTTAAATTCTGCCCTTTTTGTAGATTTATGAAGCTTCGCTTAGCAGGATAAGCCTTTCCACTATAAATACTCCGAGCTCCAGCACCTGTCTTTATCTAATAATAATAATAAATAGCTTTTGTATAGCGCATATCCTCGCTCAACAGCAGGCTCTATGCGCTTTACAGTATATTATTACCCTACCAGACCATAGAACACTCCAAAACATTCTCAACTTCTGCGGAAGCATACAGTGCAAGCTGCGGATTTCACGCGCTCAAACACTATCAAACTGACGAGATCTTTCTCTGTCTATAGCTGGGTACCCATTTCCACCTGGGTGAAGTGAGGGAAATTTGTGCAAAGTGCAACGGACACAACGTCGGGCCCCTGACGGGATTCGAACCCACGACCTTACGGTTGCGAGTCCGAGAGCCTAACCACTTTAGTCTCTATATAGATTCTTTCTGCTCTCTACCCTATCGTGTGATAAAGCAGGCGATTTCCCCCCCCCCCAGTGCAGCTCGTTTTGTGACTCTGGAACAGAATGAACTAAGACTTATAATGTTGCACATGAGGCAGGAGACATGAGCTGTTTGTCTCAGGGGAACAATCAATATTTTTAATCCCATGTATTTTATTGGGAGCGCCAACAAGGCACAGGAGTAAAAGATGGAAAGGGTATTTTGTTATGGCTCTGCTGTAGAAGGGGGAGTGGGGAAGGAAAGGGGGGATTTTAGGAATACTTCTTTGGTAGTGATAGTGATAACAGTAACAATAAATATGAAAAGATTTCTCTTGAATTGGTTTGTATTTTTTTCCGTTTACAGTCTCCTCCCCTCACTCCTACCCCACTCCTAGCCCTGTCTCTCTCTGTCTGTCTGTCTGTCTTTCATCTGTATTTCTTTCCCTCTCTCTCTCCTTCCTACCCCTTCCATGGAATGGCACAAGATATAACAATGTACTTCTGTATGTAGGATTTGTTGTGCAAAAGATCATTCACCTAAACATTGCATTTTCTTCTTCAGGTGTTGGTGTGGGCATGCTGATGTGTTCAGCGATCGTTTGCATTTACTACAATGTCATCATCGCTTGGACGGTATATTATCTAGTGATGTCATTCAGAGCAGTATTGCCTTGGTCTCACTGTAACAACGGATGGAACTCCGAATTCTGCATCGATGATTCGAATCGAAATCTTGAGCCCAATGTGACAGCTAACATTACTGGCAATATGTCTGACATTGCTACTACAGTAGCCAGTGCTGTAAGTGCAGCTGTTAACATCACGAAGAACAAGACTATTCCAGCTAGCGAGGAGTTCTGGGTGTGAGTATTGTCGTAACTTTATAAAATTTGATTATATTTTCTTATTCGAGCCTATTACGTTATTATTTTCATGCTTTAACTTCACCACACATTTTCTACTTTTTAATGACTACATGTTCTATTATTAGTGGAATACAAATACTATCATGTGTTGTGATGGAACCATGGTAAAAACTACTATGCCTACTCTAATTTTATATTATCATATTTTATTGTAACTCATCCTGGCGGACAAGAAATAATCAATAGAAAGTTAGGTGACAAATTGATTCAGGCAACATTAAAAATTTAACAAAGGTACATAATTGTACTCCATCTTGTTCATTACAGACATGATGTCCTGGAACAAATATACACATAATTGCATGCTTTGTCCATTACAGAAGTCACGTTGTTGAGCAAATACAAATAACGAACTCCATCTTGTTCATTGCAAACGTAATGTCCTGGAGCAAATATACATAACTGCACTCTTTGTTCATTACAGAAGTCATATTGTTGAGCAAATAAACATAATGAACTACATCTTGTTCATCACAGAAGTCACATTGTTGAGCAAATATAAACATAATGAACTTTATCATCTTGCTCATTACAGACGCCATGTCCTTGAGCTGAGTGACGGCATTGAGAGTCCAGGTGTACTGAGATGGCAGTTGTTGCTCTGCCTGATCTTTTCCTGGTGCTGCGTCTTCCTCTGCTTGTTCAAGGGTGTCAAAGTTCTTGGAAAGGTTGGTGTCCACTCAGCATATGTACAAAGTTAGTGGTCATGTGGGTTTTACAAACTTTTCAGCACTTTAAGGGTGTAAGATGTCTAATTTTGATGTCCACCTTCGACAAGACTGGGCAGGTTTGTAAGAGTGTTAATAATTCCGCAAACAACCCAAATTAATAAAAACTTCCCATTTGTTTTCGTTACTGTAAAGTTGAAACATAAATTAGTGATATCACATAGTATCAATCTAGATATTTTTGCATGAGAGCCTATTATTTTACCTCTAGATTGAATAACCCCCAGCTACCCATTATGATTATTTTTGTAAATTTCTGAATTCTTTTTCGATCAGGTGATGCACTTTGCTGCTCCCTTCCCATATCTTGTTCTCATGGTTCTTCTGGTGAGAGGGTGCACTCTGCCCGGTGCTATTGAGGGCATTAAATTCTACATTGTGCCTCGCTGGGAGAAGCTTGCTGACTTCAACGTAAGTAACTTGCAAAAAATGATAATCCACCTTTTGTGCTTCTGTTAAGATTTGACTGATTTTATGACTGTTCAAATTATAGGAACCAATAAAAATAAGAGTTCTTAGAGGCTGTGTGTGGTCCTAATTTTTTGCTACTGAGAATGTTGAACAATTGCCAATGCATTGAAAATAAATTAGGAGCAGCAGAAATTTTATGTGGTTTCCTGGAAGGAGACTGTTGAGAAATTCAAGAAAGGAAAACAAATCGAATGAGATAGTGTAAAATGAAGTCCAAGTGGGATGCTCACTAAACAAATGTAATTTCTGGGACACTTAATAATCTACATAGGCCTTGAACATCTTGCTTTCACTGGAAAAGTAGACCAAGAGCTACTTACAAGGAGAAACTGAACAAACAGGAGAAAAGGACAAAAAAATTAGTTCAAATTTTTTTAAAATTCAGAAGACGTTTATAAAGGTTTGTCATTTTAATGGTACTTTGTCTGTTCTGTTTCAGGTATGGGGAGATGCAGCTCTGCAGATCTTCTACTCAGTTGGAATGGCATGGGGAGGAATTATCACCATGGCTTCTTACAATAAGTTCAACAACAACGTCTACAGGTATGATGTCGGAGATATCGTGGCTTGGTGTCCCCTGAATTACTTCACAGTAATATAATGTGTCACGATGTTGTGGAGTCAGGAACTGGTCAATTTTTGGGAATGTGCAGTTATTGGTATCATCTTAAAGCTTGTTAACTTGTCTTACTTTTGATTAAAAATAAATACCCATTATTTTGAAATGAAGTTGAGATATTTGCATTGAAGGAGGTGGAGGTTGCCTGGTTTCTGACGTAAAATTAGTCCTTGGTAGCTAAAAATTTACATGATATTTATGCCTTTAATTAAAATTTGCACTAAAATCCACGCAGAAATCAGTTTTTGAATGGACATAAAAGTATTGAGTCAAAAAACAAAAATTGTATAAAAATTGCTATCCCGCAGAAAAAAAATGCCCTTTTCTTCGATTTCATTAGATCTATTTTGATGAGCACGTGATTTCACCATGTTGCTTCACATTTTTATGATATAAAGCTCATCATTTTCAAAAGTTTCTAGTTTTCATTGTTGTTAAAGGAAGCCTGTGGTGGAAATATTATTTTTTTGGTGCTCTTAATGTAGCTCAGTTCTTGTTGACAATTATTCGAAAAGCCTGGAAATTATATTTTCCATCAATGAACAATTATATCTGATCTGTGATGGATTTTGATGTAAAGATATTAAGGCAAGTAACATTTCCTGAGTTACCAAAATGGAATTTCCTTTGTCTTCAAGTGGGAAAAACTTTGGTCCGACCAGCTCCCCTGAGAAATGTATTTCTGACATCCACTCTTATCTCTTATTTTCATCATGAATTTCTCAGATGTGACTAGCTTTTTCCTCAAAGGTATTTTTCTAAGAAAGATAATGGCCATTTGTGATGTGTTCTCACAGAGTGTTAAAATTGAGTTGGAATCACTATTTTTTATGATTTTATTGTTCTACATTTTCTTTTTTTCTTTCAGGGATGCCATGTTGGTACCTTTCATCAACTGTGGTACGAGTCTTTTCGCTGGATTTGTCATCTTTTCTGTCCTAGGCTTCATGGCTCATGAGGGCAAAACAACTGTGGAGGAAATTGTCGCAAAAGGTGAGGTCCACAAGTGATGTCTAAAAACTGAATGAGAAAACACATCGTGGAGTTATGTGATGTACTTTCATTGTGTTGTTTGTTGGGAATTTTTCACATCTTATTTTTTTCTTCTTAAAAGTAAGAATCATTTGTTAAAAAAGGCTCCCACAAGCTTTGTGCTGATATAGTTGCTGTCAAAGGGAATAATTATGTGTTATAGAGGTCCTGTTTTCTATGGTGTATAATTTTGGGCTGTAGTATGACATGACTAAATGTGCATTCATGTAACAAGTAGACTCTTTTGAGCCTTTAATGTGTCAATCTTCAAATCCTTCTGCCATTTCTCGTGTTTCCTTTTGACACACTATATTATCTTTGTGGATGAAAAAAATGTCAATAGTAAAATTGAACCTTCTGAAGTATTAAAGTATCATGAATCCCCCGCTCCCCCACACACACATGCAATGATGATTAAAATTGTATTTTTCTTCTCTCTCCCCCCCCCCCCCTTCCAGGGCCTGGTCTAGTGTTTGTAGCTTACCCAGAAGCTATTGCAAAGTTGCCTGTATCTCCTCTGTGGGCTGTTTTGTTCTTCCTTATGTTCTTCACCATTGGTCTGGATAGCCAGGTAGGGTGGCACCCACTAAAATATGTATTGACTTTACAGTCAGTGGCAAAAGGCTTGGCCACACCCCATCTCCCTCCTCCATTTTCAGGGCATTGTGGACTCATTCAGCACGTGCTTAAGGGAATCTGGGGATAGGAGGTTGCGATGTTATTGCAGTTTGGGGGAGTTAACTTTAGATCATTATCTGAGATTTGCTTCATAGTGATGGGTTCCTTTGGCACTGCTGACTTCAAAAGAAAAAATAATTTGTAATTTTTTGTGTTCTGGTTACAAACGTTTTGAAATAATTGCTCAAATGATAAGATAAAGCATCAGTGCTACTTTCACTTTCTAAAAGATTGGCATTTGTCCATGAAGTACTGAAATATACCTCTGAACACTGCATAGCTTCAATACATATGTTCTAGCTATTTAGATTTCTTTTCTTTACCTTTTTGGTTCAGGGATGCTCACTTCAAGTGTGATTGATTCAAATGTTTGATTTCTTAACCTCCATCATAACTAGTGCATTCTGGTCTTTCTCTCTGTGTTCTGTCATTCCCTGAGAGGGGAACAAGGAATGCTACCATACTATGGTACTCCATTCTGAGATGATGTTGCCTGCACTTAGCCTTTTTGAAGATGTGCAGACTAATCGCATCATTGTGGTAATGATGATTCATCTTATTTTGACTTCCAGTCAGATTTTCAGGTCTTCCTTGAAATCTCTTCCCCTTTTCATTGTTTTATTGCTCACTCACACTTATTGTAAACATGAAATTGAAGCCCTCCACTCCCAACCCCCCCCCCCCCCAAAAAAAAATTTAAAAAAATGAAAAAAATATTTAAAATTTGAGAGAACTTAAAAATGACATTGGAGGACCAGGTTTGTATAGTGAGAGGGCAATAGAACTACTAACTTTGAGCATCCTTGAATTTCAATTCGAGAATAGGAAAAATTGAGGAAATAAATACTTGTTTGGCAAATGAATATCGCATTCCAAAGTTAAAAAAACCCCTGAATGGTATCAAAACTCTTTTAGATTCATGAACATATTTATTGAAGCCTTTGAAGCAATATTTGGTTCTCTTCTTGTGATTTTGCTCACAGCAAGAGAGATGAGTTCACTTTGCCCCTTTTTTTTCCTCTGGGTAAAAAAATGGTTAGTAACACATGAAGTTGTGGGCTTTGTTTAAGCTGAAGACATTGCTTGATATTTGCTTTAGAGAGTAAAAGCTACATAACTAATTTTTTTTAGTTGAAGAGGTCACATAATGTGGTAACGGTTGCACACGTATGGCATTTATTGATGCATGCAGCCTAACTCATAATTTCCCCTCAGACGAGTGTCAAAGCTGATGCCTTGTTGATCTAGAAAATCTGAATTTGTGCTTTCTTAAACGGGAAGATGGTGCAGTTTTATTTTAAAATCAGGTTTTGGATCTTAAAGCCACTGCAGCATGCTCTGTTTGCAAATGGTTTAGTTAAAGTTAACAAAAACAGCTCATTTAAGAACCAGTGCTTTTATGCAGCTGCAAAATGTTTACCTCAAGTCTGTTCTTGAGTTGAATTCCAAATGCTGAAAGATGCAATGATATATATATATTTAAATATGAATATCTATGTGGGGCAATCGGGATAATTTTTGTGGGCTATACGAATCTTTTGATTTATAAAAACTCATCAGAGAGAAGATCAGAACTGCTGGTCAGGAATCAGGTAAGTTTGGGCTGCTCGTTTATTTTTGTTGTGTTGAACTGTGCCTGTCATTGTCCTATTGAGGATACAACTTATGTGGTATTGGTGGGCTTGGGGGAAGATAGATGTGTCCGTTCTTTATGTTTTCTTACAATGTGTATACATGTACCTGCTTTTTTGTTTGTTATCTCAGTTTATGCATATACTGTGACATTGTCATTGTGTATAAGATAATATGATTTACATTCAAGTTTGGATGTGAGTGGTTGTGCAGCTAAAACTGATTTAAATCCTATAACGAATTTAAAAAGGGAATGTGTATGTACTTTCAGGGTAGGGGTGGGGTGGGGGTGGGGGTGGGGGGGCTGGCAAAAGAGGTGAGGTGCAGGTGGTTGGGGAGGTATCCTTACTGCTACTTACTGAAATATAATTTGTTTAATCTGAAGAAATTAGTTTATATTTAAATCATCTTTTTGGATTAAAATTGAATAGCAAGGGGTTCTTACAACAATTATAATCCTGTAAAGGAGGGAGGTAGGGAGGGAGAGAGAGAGAGAAAGAGAGTGAGAGAAAAGAGAGAGAGAAAGAGGGAGAGAAAAGAGAGGGAGAAAGAGAGAGAGAGAGAGAGAGAGAGAGAGAGAGAGAGAGAGAGAGAGAGAGAGAGAGAGAGAGAGAGAGAGAGAGAGAGAGAGAGAGAGAAAAAAAGAGAGAGGGAGGGAGAGAGAGAGGGGGGAGAGACAGAGAGACAGAGAGAGAGAGAGAGAGTGAGAGAGAGAGAGAGACAGACAGGTAGACAGACAGACAGACAGACAGAGAGAGAGAGAGAGAGAGAGAGAGAGAGAGAGAGAGAGAGAGAGAGAGATTTTACCTGATTTTTGCATATAATCACTTACCACAAATCAGCTTTATTTAAGTGTTTCCTGATAACTCTGTCAGCCTTGGGCATAAAGAATGATTTATTTTCAAGCAGGAGGTGTGGAGTTGAGATGGGGTGACAGGGAGGTATGGGAGGGGGATGGGAGGTGAGGGGGTGATGCAAGGAGGGAAGGCGGAGTACATTTCAGCTTCTTTTTGTTTGTTTTTATTGCTAAACCCATCTACTCTTTTGTCATGTTTTTGAATGTGTGCTCCAAGTCTTGAAAATTTGTTTTGTGATGAAAGTATTAAAAAAATCGTCCAAAATGTTTTTCAATTCTTCTGCAAGGACGGAAAAATTTGGCTGAATTTGGGGAGATCAACGCATTCTGGAGGCGAAGGTTCCACCCTTTTCTTCTCGACAGGCTTGCCTTAGGTTTTCATTGAACTGTTACCTAATTAAGAACTTTCGTTATCTACATGCTCCACTTTTGTTGTCATTTAACTATGTTTGCATTCCTTCATCGTTTCATCCTGTGAAATACATTCATCACTACTATTATTGTGGTATCCCATTTCATCTATTTTTTCATGATATTATGAAAGCCCTAGTATCATTTGTTTGTACACTGTTTTCATTGTTCATCCATAAAACTGTGAACTTATCAAGTGGTTTTCTTGCACTTTGTATCTTATGCTGATTTACATTTGGACTCGTCAGTTTCTGGAAAATCTCTGCTAAGAAAATGCTTTATTCTTTAGGCTTGAATGTTCTGTGTGAATGAGAAAAGAATGGGTTCCTGTCCTGGACATCCTAAAAAACAACAGAAAAATCTAAAGTTATATACTGATTTTTTTTCCTTAAAATTTACATCTCGTAAGAAAATGAATTTTAAGTCCACAGTCTTATCTTAATCACTCATTATCTTTTTTTTTTTTTCACACCTGTATGATTGTTTTAAATGATGTTGCTAAGACCATTGTACTATATTGCTTTTGTAAAATTGTTATTTCCTAGCCTAGGCTTGTTGTGAGATTTCCCTTCCCCCCCACCCCCACCCACACCTTTTATCGACAAATTGTCTTCCCTTGTCAGCTTAGTTCAGGAGTTGTCGAACTGTCTAATTATAATTTTGTCTTCTGTTTTGTTGAAATATAACATCTCACAATAACAGCCAAGCCCCACTTTCACTCATGAGGTCATGCTGGAATGTTTATGAAAAATGATAATGATGAAAAATTACAGTGGAAATTTTGTGTGCTATGCCCTGTTTTCCCCCCACAAATTAAAAAAATCATTAGACATAGACGAAAATAAAATTATTCTAAAGTTGCCACCTTTAGAAGATGAGCATATTATGAAGACTCATCAGAAAAAGAAAAAAATTGTTGCCAGAGTGTTTAAGAGGTGTTTAAAGTTTTGAATTTTGCCAAGGATGGATGTAAAGAAGTCCTAATTCGCCTTGGACTTGGTTATTTTAAAGGTAACATTTTATGTGAGCTTCATTAATAGTGATATAGATGTAACATTTTTTCCACACTGTAAAATTTTCAGAAGATCGTTTGAGCGAACTATTTTTTCAGTGAGAAGTAGTTGATATAGTCTGATTTTGTAATGGTCATATCCTCTATCTGGTATCCACTCAATATTGTGAACTGGTCGTGTCTTACAATCTCTAGTTTCTATTTAGGGGTCCACTTAATTTTGATTTGTCAAATGGGGAGTCCAAATATTCATTGCCCTCATTTCTCTTGGTTTAATTTGTCATGTGTTGACCTTCTCTATGTAGTATTGGAAATTAAACATAGTCACCTGCCTGCTATATAAGCATGTTTTTTTTAATGAATGTGTTGGATTGTAGGCCTACTATCATAAAGGGATTAAATTGATTATGCTGCAAAGACTTGAAATGAGACGAGATCATCAGATAGAAGAAGTGGCCATTGCATTGCTAGAAGTCTTCTAATGATTTGATTGATAACTTGTCAGAAAGTGTATTTTAGGTTCATGTTTCCTGGCCTGATTCAAATGAAATGGGTTTAAATATTGATAGTGAAGGGAGAGAGGCTCTGTTTTGACAAGAGCTGATGTAAATATCCCAAGGACCTCATGTCAGTTGTTGCAATAAAATACATGCTTCCGAAGTTATGTGTGATGTAACTGTTAATGAAGAGATGATATTGACATTGACTCACTGACATAGTGATTTGTCTTCCAAATGAAAGTTTTTTCTAAAACAAGTTTGTTTTAAGTAACTTACCTCGTCTTGGTTTAAAAAGAAAAAAACAACAACCCTAAAACATTGATGGCAGTCTAAATGATTCTGTGTCTGTAATTTATATTTGGGATGGGCAGATGAGAGATGTAGGCTGGCTTTCTAGTAGGTATTTAAAAGGATTGACCAGAAGATAGGCTCAGTTACTAGATTAGATTGTCTGTTTCATTTCTTTTGGGTTCCAGACATTTTGGAATTGAGCAAGAATGTCTTCTTTCCTATTTCTATGGTATGGATGGCAGCAGCCTCTCTTCTATAATTAAAATTTTACAACACTAAATAGTCAACTGGAAAGTACTCAGTATGACAGATCCTTCAAAAATCGAAATTTTAGCCCGCTTAGGAGTTGATGTTGTATGCACCACGGTAGTGTCAGTTTTGTAGATAACAGCAGAAGATTTCTAGTCTAGTTATCAAGACTGGAAGCAAAACTGCATTCAAGAAAGCATGACCTCCTGATATTCCCCTTGCCTCGTCACCTGACAGCATCTCAGCACGTACTTCCTCAGCTTCCCTTATTAAGTGCATGGTTCAAGTCATCATTTGAAGTTTCCCTTTGAAATAATGAACAAGCTTCTTCAAAGGAAATGCAGATTGTCATACATCTGTGACAGCAATGAAAATAACTGTTTCAGTATCTCTTTACTTTGGCCTCATATTGAAGCCTCCAAAGACTTCATGAGGTGAGGTCTAGCTTGTTAAACTAATTGAACGTTATTCAAATTTTTCTCAAATGAAATGTGATGACTTGAGCCCTTCATGCCTGATTGCAAATGTACTGAAGTATTAGATATATTTCCATGTTTTTATCTGGAAGAAAAATATGTTCTAAATTATTTGTAAAATGTCTTGTTTAAACTTCTCTTGTACTCACTGTACATATTTTTTCTCTCTGTAGTTTGGAATGTTTGAGACCATCCTGAGTGGTATCATTGATGAGTACCCACACTACCTACGCAACAAAAAAACGATCATCACTGCCATTGCCTGCTTTGTGGAGTTCTTGCTGGGAATGCCGTGCATCACACAGGTGAGTCATCACTTTCACTCAAACATGAACAGAAAAGCATTTGACAAACTTCAACTGTTTTTAAATTTGCTCACTTAGACAATGTGTTACAAGAATATAATATATATATATTGCAAACTCTGCTCATAGTTGCTATATATTGCATATGTAATATTATGTGTGAGGCATCGTGGTGAAATCACGCACTCATCAATAGCCTATAATGGAATTGAAAAAACTGACATATTTCTCCAGTTTGACCATTTTGATCAAATTCTGGTTTTTTGACCTTTTATGTTAATTTAAGAACACATTTCTGTATGGATTGACTGAAAAACATTGATTACAGGCACACAAAATGTACAATTTCAGTTTCCAAGGACTCTCAAGCTATGGAAATCACAAAGCTTTGACAGCCATTTTCCAAAACCAGGCGATCACTCCTCCTTCAATTGCAAATGTCTCGAATTTTATTCCAGATAGATTGGTATTTTAAAAATACAAAACAAAGGAAATGAGCAAGCTTTAAGATGATATCAATAACTCTACATGCCCAAAAATTGACAAATGCCTGATTCCTCTACGTCATGACACATATTATGTGCAATATACAGCAACTATAATTCGAGTTTGCATTTTTTTTTGCTCACTTGAAAATGTTAAGAATGAGGGGGTGGATGGAGAAGGAAAGTGAGGTGGAGGAGGAGGGAGCCACCTTTCTTTTAGTTCTTTCCCTATCTTCCTATTTCAGTGCTGTATTAACTCTTTCCGGGCGTATTGCCGATATATCGGCGCGAGTTCGCACCCCTTGCGGACGTATCACCGATATATTGGCTATGATAGGGTGCCCCAGGATTGTTTCATTTTAACACGATCCATCATTTATAATTACTTTTTATTGCTATTGAAAAACTCGGAAAGGATGTAGGAAACGTTTTTAAGAATTGTCAAAGCGTAAACGAGTGAATTAGTTCTTGCAGTCTTGCATCAACAGAACGATGTAACCGGACTCAGTATAAATATTATAACTCAAACAAAAATTGGAATATTGCTTTCAAATAAAAAGCTGCGCCTTCAGAAATTTCTTGGCCTATAATAAGATTGCTATGCTTATTTGTTTTCACAAGTTTGGTGAATGTAATTTTTATCCATCAAAATGTATTTTTCTCATCACCATTTCTAACCCTTTTAATGCATACTTATGTTAAAAATTAATCCTTGTTTCTTATTGGGATGTATTCCTCATTCAATTTCCTTCAATTTGATATATCATATGTTATGTTTTGAGGGATGGTTTTGCTTCTATGAACTTATTTTGTACTCCATTTGCATAGGCAAATTGAGCCACAAGTTAATTATGTCTAGACACCAAAAAATAAGTCCGGAAAGAGTTAATATGCTGACAATAATAACTGCTGAGCTACTGCACTCAAAGACCATTTTCTGCCAGTGTTTTGGAAATTGTTGCTGGTGATAAAACAGGAGGTTATTTTTTTTAGTTTGTTGGTAGTATTTCTTATTTCTTTTGAACCTTGGCACTCTAAGCCCCCAGGATTCGTGAAATTGAGTGCTTGTGAGTTTACATCTAAATTGATACCACAGCATATTAAGGCCTATGTTCACTGTGGAGAGGGTAAATATAGCAAAGGCCTGAATGAGCTCTCAGATACCCATAGGTGTAAGAAATATAACTGAAGTAAAATAATTCATTCTTACATTCTCTAAACGTATGGAATGCACGTGATAGGAATGATGGAGGAAAATGGTTTATTTTTTGTTGCTGACAAGCGAATGCTAAAGAATTTGAATCTTATTTGGTGTGAGTTGCAATAAGCCCATTTTATTGTTCACAGTTCTCTAGTCCAAATTTCCAGGGAATTGTAACCTTCTATTGTGTTTTCCCTGCAGAAAATTTAACTCCATATAGTGGTACTCTTTTACTTTCAGTGGCAGAAAATATTCTTTGATATATTGAGTTTTACTTAGAGTGTTATGTTGAACCTGCAAGCCTAGAATTCAGGCCTTTTATATTAAAAGATAGGGTTACCTCAGGGAAAGGAGAATAAAAGTAAATGAAACAGCAAAGCCTGCTCAAGTTAAACAATCAGAAGATTTAACTGTTATTTTCTAATTGATGATGTTTCGCTTACTTTATTATTCCAAAAAACTAATGATGATTTTTGTGTGCATTAATATTTTCAGGGAGGAATCTATGTGCTGCAGATCATGGACTGGTACTGCGCCAGCTTTTCCCTCATGTTGATCTCTATGACTGAATGCCTGGCTCTGTCATGGTGTTATGGTAAGTTCATTCTGTTATGCTGTCCAACTGTTTGTTTTAATTGTGAGTCATATTTTAAAGCAAAACTTGTACATATTATCAAATTAGAAATTATAATTTTGTGAGGTGAGTCACACTGTGATGCACTTACATGTTTTGAACATTTTTCAATATATTGATTCTCTTTCAATCGATAAGATCCTATTAAGAAAGGCCCTCTTTTTATCTTTAACGTACACGAGGAAGATGAAATGAGAGATTTTTTACTCTTTTTTTGCAGCAAAATTATTCCTAAAAACACAGTCTAAGAATTTGTTTTTAAGACAACTGAGAAAGTAGATCTTTAAGTGTAAATACTAAGTAGCAGCACCCAAAGGGTACTTGTATATTTGTTTCTTATCCATTTTATTTGAACTTTAAAAAACGCCTTTCATGTGTTACTCAGCCTTGCCGTAACCTCAAATCTAGTGGAACTTTTTCATCGTAAAGCCTTTTATAAAAGTTACTTGTATTTTTATTTCTGTTCACTAACAAATGGTAATTTTTAAATTTGTATAACAAAACTTTCTGTGAAAGATGAATGTCCTACACATCAATACAATTAATGTTAGAACTTTAATCAGCTGTGTTATAATGTTCTATCAAGAAATTGTTTTGCATCATGGTGAGATCAGGCACTTGTCAAAGTAATGAAAATGAAGAAAATGGCTCTTTTAACCACTGTGGCAGTTTTTAAAGAATTTTAATTTTCTGGCTCAACATCTTTTACATCTATTTAAAAACATATTTCTGCATGATGTTTACAGAAAAACGTTGACAAAAGGCACACAAATTGTTAAGTTTCAGTTTCCAAGGACTCTTTAGAGGAGCACAAAGAGAACGTTTGCTCGCGATAAAAACGAACGTGTTGGGACAAGCGCTTGAAATATTGTTCAAAATGTTCTTATTGCGCCCCAAAAGCATGCTCACCGTATTGTGCCGGGGATTTCATGCTACGCTTGGAAAGTGTAAAGAATCAAAAGTGAGGAAGGTGTACCTGGTGCCCCTCCCCTTTGTTGTCTTTTCATGACTTGGGTAGTGTGGTGTGCATTTTCACTGTCTCAGTGACAATTGGACCGTAATGGATGTCAAGCCTGTGATATGAGCCATGTTTCTTATGCAATTTAGGACAAAAGAAGGAAAGACCATGCAAACCGCAATGTTGTGAAACATGCTTGGTGTCTAGCAACAATAGTTCGTCTTCACTCGAATCCGCCATGGCGCCAAATGCCCCAAGTTCTGACCAGTTGCAAGCTTGATTTGCAATCATTCTATATGTGCACCTCGACTACAAGCAAGCGCTTTCTTCTCAACGCTCGCTTTATCGCGAGCAAGCGTTCTTTTTGTGCGTACCTTTAACCTATAGAATTCACCTTACTTAAGCAGCCATTTTATCACTAATTTTTATTTCTGAACCAGGTAACCCCACCCTCTTCAATTGCGAATATATTCAAGATACCGATGTGTATTTTTTTGTCAAAAGCAAAACAAATGAACAAGCTTTAAATTGATAACAATAACTCAGCATGCCCAAAAATGGAAAAACACCTGATTCCACTGCATTGTGACGCAATTGTAAAACTGTTAAACTTGTACTTCTGTTCGTTCTGACTTTATTGCCTGAACATCATAAATAATGAAAAACAATCGACAATTTTAGATCAATTTTGACTTTGCCCACATATGAAAAGGAAAAAATAAATTAATGAAAAAAATTGCTTTGTTGTGTGAAAAAGAGAAAGTTGATCAATTTTTTTTCTTTCATATTATGAAATCAGTTGTGCCTCTGACAAAGAACCAAAATTACTCTTTTTTCAACTTAATCACGCAGTGTAAGCCTGTTTTTATTTGATAAAATTGAGGATGTAGACTGTAAGTGTAATGTTCTGTTCTAAATGTCATTACTGTTAGTTAATATCTTGTAATTCCATTAATTATACCTTTAAATTATCTTCAGGTGTTGACCGCTTGTACAAGGACATTGCTTTGATGATTGGATACGAGCCCCATTTCTGGTGGAAGTACATGTGGAAATATGTCACTCCACTTATCATTTTGGTGAGTCAAGTGCTTTTCTTTTAAAGGTGGCCTACATCCTTTATAGTAGTTTGTCTGACTGGTTTTGGTTTCAACAAGAAATCTTGGTAACAAATTTACTATTCTTCCCCAACCATGGTTTGGGGCCTGCTTTGACTAATTAAAGTTGTTTTATAGTTTCACTTCTGCCATCCAAATGGCAGTTTTCAATTATAACCAGTGCAGAGCCAGATGAATTTAATTAAATTTTCTGTTAATGGAATTCCGAATTAAAACCTTTTTATATTGTGTTCTGATTTGCATAATTTCTACATGGCATGATGGCTGCCAATGGATGTTGTGCTGGAATGTGAGATCACAAATTGTGAGGATCATAATGTTCTCTATCTACATCCCATCTGCCGATGATACTTAACTTGCAACAAACTGGGGGAAAAGCCAAGTTCAAATCTGATTGGGTCCATACTTTTGCTACAATAATATATCCTTGAACATTTTCTCCGAGCCCTGAATTCTTTCAGAAGAACCATTACTCTGTCTTAGAAATGTCCAATTCTGGAACCAGGAGTGCAGCATACATGAGCGCAGACAACCACAAGTACCTTATTTGAGCATTTTCATATTGTTTTCTTTCTCTGCTTCTTTACAGTTCATCTGGATATTCAGTGTGGCTACACTTGGACCTGTGACGTACGGAGATGAATATCAATACCCAGAATGGTCTATTGCCGTTGGCTGGATGATGGGTATCATCTCTGTTCTGCCAATTCCTATTGTTGCTGTGATTCAGATTATGTCAACTCCTGGATCTCTCATGGCTGTGAGTTGTCATCATTTGTTTTCATGATTTAAATTTTTACCATTTTCATAATGGAAGCTGCTTTTTCGATAATGATATTATTTTAATCAACACCAAAGTAAAGTCTCTTTAATGAATACAATTTTCACCCTTGCACACAGAACTCTCTCTCTCTCACACAGACACACACACAGACACACACACACACACACACACACACACACACACACACACACACACACACACAC